GGTGAGGTCGGGGGCGGGACACGCGGGTGGCGGTCGCCTGGGCCGCCCCTCACGGCTCCCGAGGGGAGACGGAGGCAGATTGGGGCGTTCGAACTGCAGGCCTTTTCCCGGCTGGCGGGGGGGGACCCCGAGGGAAAGTGAATCCAAACAGTCCCTCTCTGAAGACGTGCTCGGAGCCCCCCCCCCCTCCGCCCTTCCCTTGGGCTGCGTGCGGGGCGAGCCCGAGTAAAGACGTCTTTGTTGTTGTTGTTGGAGATTACTTTGGCGTTTGCCAGATTTGTTGTTTTTTTTTTTTTTCTCCCCCGACGCTAAGGGAGAGAATCACCCAGGAAAGGCGGGGGCAGGAAGGGGAACTGGCCTTCGTGGCCCGTGCTGCTGGTGGGGTCGGCTCGATCTGGGGAATTTGAAATTGCTCCTGCCCTGCCTCCTGGAGGGAAAGGCGTGGACACATGGAGCTGGGGAGACCGGCGGGGAAGAGGAAGTTCCCCGAGCTGTCACCTTCGCCCGCCCGCCCGGCCAGCTTATTTAGCTTAGGCTGTTTAGGGGGATTGTGCTCAGGAGTTTAGCTGAGCCGCGAGTACACAGGGGCAGCCCAGCGCCCTGAGATGCTACCTCATCCTCTCGGGGTCTCAGTTGCCGGTCAGCATAGCCCTCCCTGGACAACCAAGCATGCTTTCCTCAAGTCTCCCAGACCTAGACCAAACGGCTTCCCGGGGTGCTTCTGGAAAGCTAGTTTAGAAGAACCAGATCAGAAAAGGGCCCTAAAGGTAAACCTGCTGATAGACGGAGTGCTTCGCAGAACTATTTATAAACGGCCTCTCGTTGCCTTGCCCATTTACCTCACTGTCTTTACAGGGGTGCTTACTTAGCCCACAGTTAGACCTTGCCTGTGGGTGGAGTCCAGGACAGATTGGATGCTTTTAGGCTGTGGTCAGTGTGATGGCCAGAGACTGCTCTTTCTGAACCTGGTCTCACAAAGAAACAGTATGTTGTTCGCTGGGAAGCTGGGGGCGGGGGGAGAGGAGGAGTTAAAGCTGTTTTCTATTACCAGTACTTGAAGAACAGCCTGATGTGTGCAACTCAATGGAAAAGCTCTTAACTTTTACAGACCTATTAGAACCATGGCCTTGAAATTCGTATTTGTTCTCGTATTCTCTTTCTCATTAGAATATCTAGAGTTTTTTTTTTTTAATCTTTTCAGTAAGGTTGTAAGACTAGGATGAGAAATGCTTGGCACATAGTGGATGCTTTATTTTAGTACTGCCTACAACAGCTCTGATTATAAGTGTTGAAACGCGTTTTTAAGTACAAATACTCATTAATTACCTAAAACGATTGCTTAACTGACTTAGGGAATCAAGAAAATACAGCTGGGGATGTAGCTTTGTTCAACTTACCTTGCATGTGTGAAGCCCTGGGTTTGGTTTCAAACACTGAAGGGCAAAAGAAGTGGTTTTTTTTTTTTTTTCAGGCCTTCGAGATACAGAAAATGTTTGTGAGCATATGAGATGTACTTTTTCTAGAAATAAAGTTTTTATTGGAGCTTTACATGTGAGTTTATAGTAAATAGCTGTATTTCATGTGCTTACTATTTTTGAATAGTCTTTTAGTTTCATTACTTAAGAATTTTTGTTAACATATCCCCTGGGGGAGGATTCTAAGTTCTGTACATGTCTGAATGCAATCAAACGTTAAAATGGATCAGAGAACTAGAATTGTGTCATAAAAGTGTTCTTCCAGTTCATGTTATTGATTCTGGTAAATAAAACCTTTAGGAGTCCCTTTCTGAGTGTCAGCAAAGTTTCTACCGTCTTACGATAATAGAGTGATAAATGTGTTAGTCATTGAATTTTAAGTTTTTTAAATTTAATTTTGATTTATGTTTTTGGAAAACCATAATAGTGAGGAGTATAAAGTAAAATCAGGAAAGATTAAAGAAATCTTAAGTTTTAAAATTACTTGCTTTTTAAAAAAAATTTTTGAGGGGCCTGCCCTGTGATATAAGCTTACCTCAGACTTCTCATCCTCCTTCCTCGGTCTCCTTATGCAGTTATAGGCAGTTGCCATTTCACTTGGTTCTAATTTAAGGTCCCCCTTTCCTTTTTGGGGATGGGGTGAAGACAGAGCAGCGAGAATGTGGGAATAATTTCATTGAGAGTTAAGTTCATGTCTCTTGAAAAATACTAATTTTGAGGTTAGAGAGGTGGCTGAGCGATTCAGAGAGTATAGTGCTACCCAGAGGGCCAGAGTTGTACTCCCAACACCCATGTCGGGCCGTTGATAACTGCCTGTAATGCCAGCTCAACAGGATCTGACACTCTTCTGGCTTCCACATAACTATAGACACACACACTTAAAATTAAAATTAAAAAATGGTTCTTAAAAATATCAATGCCTCTAGTTAGATTTAGATTTTATCTTTGTTTTAACAACAATGATCTTAATATATTTTGTAAATTTTGTACATATACAGTGAGGTTTTCTAAAATTTCAAAGTATCCAGTGAAAATTTTGATAGATAACTGGTGAAAATTATGTGTGTATATATATTATATATATATTATATGTGTTTATAGGGTTAGCTTTATTAGAAGGCAAAATATACTTTGATTTACATAAAACGTTAGCATACAAGGTGTTAACTATCACTGTTGCATTTTGAAAGAAATTTGTTTTTATTTCCCTCCTATCACTCCAGCCCTTTAACCTTTTGTTTTACTCCTGCGCCCCCTGTCTGATTTCATGTTCTTTCATGCTTCGTCACCCTCCTCAGAGTCTCTTTACTCTTTCTTGGAGTCCATTCTAGTATTGTAGGTTTTTTATCCAACTTTATTTCCACTTATATACATATGTATGTACAAGCTAGAATCTGCATATGAAGAGAGAATGTTGGTTTTGCCTTTCTGGATTTGGATCAGTTTGCTTAATATGTTTTCCAGGCTACCCATTTTCTTGAAAATTATTCTTTACAGCTGAGTAGAATTTTATTGTGTCTCTATACCACATTTTCATTACGGGTATCTAGGCTGATTGCATTTCCTTGCTATCATGAATATAGCATCAATAAATATGAATGTGAATGTCTATTACTGTCAGGATATAGAGTCTTTTGAGTATACATATATGGGAGTGATAATAGCTGGATCATATGGCTGCCCTGTTTGTTTACACTCCCACCAGCAGTGAGTAGGGTTTCCTCTATCCTCACATCCTCTTCAGTCTGCTGGTACATGCCTATAATCCCACCCCCGTTCAGGTCAGTTCAGGCTGACAAACCAAACCATCCCTCCCCCGAAACAAAAAAGGAAGCCCCCTACTCCAAACAGACAAAAGAGCCAAGTATGTGGATAGTTTATTTTTAACTGGAAATATTCATCCTTTTTGTTTAAACTAAAGAAATTACAACAAAATTAAGGTAGAATATTATTAGATTTTGAAAGGTGGTCTAAAGGAATTTTAAACCTTTCCAGAATATTCATTATAAACACCTTTAATTAAGAGGGATTAAAATACTTAGAAATTTCTGTCTTTACTGCTAATGCCGATTATGGCAATAACTTTACCACAAAATTTTAGTGCTTTAACATGCAGAAGTTTGAATGTACTGGTTAGCATGGTTGTTGTCTTGTGGTAACCTACTTTAGAGTGCCTTATGTTTTGTGACTTCTCCATTCCTAGGATCTTGGGATTCTGTTTATTGCTCACAGGCTATTTCTTAAGAACTGAAAGGGACGTTTCCCCAAATTTCATTGGCAAGACTTTGTCATAGAGCTTTATTTAAATACAATGAATGTGAAAAATAACCCTGGATAGAAGTAAGTTTATCTTTGCTACAGAGGGCTTCAGGGTATTAGTTTAGATGATAGTACATATGTAATGATATTTTGTTTCTGATCTAACAAATAAAGCTTGCCTGAAAATCAGAGTGCAGAACTAAGCCACTAGTTAGCCAAAGAGTCCAGGCATTGGTGGCACACACTTTTAATTCCAGCACTCAGGAGACAGGCAGAGGGAGCTCTGTGCGTTCAAGTCCACCCTGGGCTCCTTGAAATTGAATCTGAGAAACAGAGCTCACACAAAGATGATCCCAGCACTTGGGATCACATGTCTTTAATCCCAGCACTAGGGAGGTGGAGTGATAGGGCTGGGCAGAGAGAGGAATATAAGGTGGGAGAAGACAGGAGCTCAGATGCAGTCTGAGCATGCAGTCTGAGGACTCGGGGACAGGGTTACCCTTTCTTTCTGAGACTTTGGCTGACTGCTCTGCTCTGATCTCCCAGCTTTCACTCCCTGATGTCTGACTCTGCTCTGGGTTTTTATTAAGACTGAGTAGAATACGTGCAACATGCATACTTGTAAAATTGTATCTAAAAGT